CCATCCCCGCACCGGCCTGCCGGCCGTGCCGTGCCGCATCCCCGGTCCCCTGGGCCGGCAGAGCCCTGCTCTCACTCCGCTCACCGTCGCCCATCCCCACCAGGGCCGGAGCGTCGCTCCTGGGCTCTGCGGGTAAAGTCCAATCCTGCTTAGCGTCCCCCCGGGGGCTGGAGCAGGGGCCCAGGCTTGGCTGCCCGCTCCCTACCCGCCCTTCCTCGGGATTAGGCTCTGTGCTCGGCTTCCCCACGGGGATTTGCCCTGACTGGTGTTGCCTTCCCCAGTCAAAGGGAGGAAGGAGGTTGTCGGCAAGGGGTGAGATGCCAGTGGAGGCCATCTGGGCAGCAGCAAAGTGCTGGGCAACAGGAAGCCATGACTGCAGCCTTTGCCCTCTTCCCAGCTCCTTCCCAGAGCGCCGTTTTTGTGAGCTGTCCTGAACTGGCCGCATAAACTTGGCAGTTGGAAAGAGTGAGGCTGGCCTGGGGACAATTTGTGACAATAAACCTATTCTAAACCAACTGAGCCTGTAAAGGGACTAGGGCAGTGAAGGGGTGATGGAACTGGCTCCAGGTGGGAGCAGGCAGACGGATGCTGTAATTAGGTTTAAACTGAAGCTGGATCAGTCTTTGCAGGGGATTATGACCCCTCCGTCTGTGTAGGCGCTGCGGGGGGCCCAGTAGCTGTTTGCTCAGCATCCTGGCACAACCGCAGCGTTACGGGTGAGCCCTTGGGTAAGGGGTAGTGCCAGCTACAGCTGGTGCCCTTCCAGCCCCAAGGATTGGCATGGGAGGGCTGGATCTAGTGTGAAGGCCCAATTTGTTTTTACAAGGACAGTGGGAGCTGGAGCAGAGATGAAAAATAGCCAGAAATATGATTAGAGGATTGGAGAAAATGCCTTGGAGTACAAGCTTAAAGAGCTCAATCTGTTTAGCCTATAAAAATAGAAGACTGAGGGGTGACTTAATTACTGAGCATAATTACTTCACAGTCAGAAAATACCAAGTTGTGGAAGTCTCCTGTTAAACAAGCAGGGAAAGGGTGCTGGAGAGGCATGGGTAGGAAAATTGAAACCACAGACAAATTATTAAGTGACACAAAGCTGCTGGGGGTACAGGTAGGCTCTCTGGGGACAGCCACACATTGGGCGACAGTCTGCACCGCCATTGATGAGGCTCTCCCATTCCTTCTCTTCCTACCCACGTAGTGGGGGGACAGAGCAGGATTTCTGGTGTCTGGGTGCTGAGTGGTGGCTCATGCTGCAGGGCACATGCCACCAGTTCCTCCATACTCCTTGTCTCTCTCCCACCAGGTGGGGCGGGTGCCGGGACACAGTTCTGCCGGCGACCTATGAGGCAGGAGTGGAGATTTTGATACCTCTCCCAGGAGTCTCCAGAGCCATGACTGCAACTGTGCAGACGCTGCGGTTCAAGCTGCTGCCGCACGAGCCAGGCCAGGAGTGGGGGCACAACTGCCAGCAGGAAATTGAGCGTCGCTACCAGGTGGTGCCCTCAGTGGTGTGCGCCATGTGCTGCCTTTTTGGCATCATCTATTGCTTCTTCGGTGAGCCAGGCCAGCCTGACTGCTGGTGGGGCAAGTGGGGAAGAGGGCAGAGGGGAGCTGGGGGATTCTGGTCATCCATTCCCTGACTATGGTGGTCTCTCCACAGGCTACCGCTGCTTCAAGGCGGTCATGTTCTTGACGGGGTTGATGTTTGGCTCTATCATCATCTTCATGCTGTGCTACAAGGAGCGGGTGCTGGACACACAGCTGAGCGTGGAGGCCTCAGTGGGCATTGGGTTGGGCATCGGAGTCTTGTGCGGGCTGGTCACCATGCTGGTGCGCAGTGTTGGCCTCTTCATGGTGGGGCTGCTCCTGGGGCTGCTGCTGGCGGTAGCCACACTGGTGGTGATGGAGCAATTCTACCACCCACCAACAGTGTGGATCCCCATCGCGCTGCTCTTGGGTGTGGGGATGCTCTTTGCTGTCCTCACCCTGCAGTGGCAGCGCTTCTTCACCACGCTCTCCACCGCCGTCTTCGGCAGCGCCATCATGACCGTCACTGTCGACTACTTCATCGAGCTCTTCCTCCTGGTGCAGTACATCTATGAACGCATCAAGGTGGCCCCTGCTCGCCCCGTGTGCTGGTACAGCTGGGTCATCCTGGGCATCTGGCCGCTCCTCACCACACTGGGTGTCCTGGTCCAGTGGAAGGTCACAGCCGAGGGCTACTCCCATACAGAAGGTGTGTGGGGAGTGGGGCAGATGGGCATGGCACAGGGTGAGTGTAGGAGCTGGGAACCAGGGGACTGGGGTGGATGTTTCCAGCACCTGGTTCACAAGGACAGATACGGGGTTCAGGACTCTGTGGCGTCACACCACCCAAGGGAGGCCTGGTTGCACAAAGTTGGTGCTGGTTTGGCTGCAGGGATTGTTTGGATGTGCTCCCCAGTGCTTACAGGGCGCTTTGCTCCACAGTGATCATCAGCCGGCAGCAGCGCCGCGTGCAGCTGATGCGAATCAAACAACGAGAAGACCGAAAGGAGAAGAAGAAGAAGCGGAGACCCCACCACCCACCACCCCACCAGCACAAAGCCCACCCCCCTGAGCCTGCTTACCGCCGCAAGCCCAACCCTGTGCGCCGCTTTGATGGGGACGTGCTCTCCCCCGTGAGTCCCGCAGCCAGGGTAGAGATCTTCCCCCAGTCTCCACAGCCATTCCTTCTCCAAGTGGGTGGGCTGGGGCGTGGAGAGGTGCCCAGGCACCAGCTAACATCAGAGCTGCTTGAGGGATGATACTGGGGTGTCCCAGGGATTGAGCAACTCAAGAAGGGCTAAGCTGGGCTGTTAAGACCATGGAGCACTTCAGCCTTTGCAAGCAAATGAGAGCTGCTGGCCAAGAGCTCTGTGGGCATAGTAGAAACAAGCAGTAGGCAAGGTGCAAAATGCCCAGGGGAGGGATAAGCCTGTGCTCCCTGCTGTGGCCGGCCACTGGATGGCCCAAATTCTGGGGATTCCACTGGGCTGTTTTTGAGGGGGGCCAGGGAGGGGCTGCAGCAGCGTTTAGGGTGGGGTGGAGTGGTCCAGGGGCAGGGCCCCCTCATTTTCTGTTCCCTCTCTCTCACAGAGCTACATCCAGAGTTTCCGAGAGCGGCAGACAGGACCATCGCTGAACAGCCTCATTGCCAGCTCCCATGCCGTGGTGGACCTGGACTATGACTGCAGCTCCACCGTGCCCCTCACCACGGGCTCTGGCCCTGCTGTGAGGGTATAAGCCAACCCAGTGACCTCTAGCAACACCAGCACCCCAGCCTGCTCTGACAGAACCCCTGAGACAGGCAGGGCTTTGTCCTTGGCCTCAAGTGGCCACATGTGGCTTGGGGCTGCAGATGGAGACCCTTCTTGGAGACACATTGGACTTGTCTGGGGAAGCCCCAGCTGCCTGTGGGGCCCAAAGGTGCTGGGGAAGCCCTTTGGCAGGGACTCAGCCCAAGGACCAGAACCCATGGACGTGCAGTGCGAGTGGCTCTGCTGGAGTGGTGGGTCCCTGAACCCCCACTGCTGTGCATTACCCTATGGCCCGGGCACGCTCATCCTGCATCTTAACATTTCCCCATATTTGAGTCCCCCCTCTTCCCAAGAGCAGCTCCCCATGCCTGCCCCCACCCCACTGCACCCCCAGCAACTCCCCAAGTGCCTGTCCCCTATGTCCTTCCCTCAAAGAGCAGGTTCCATGGCCCTTTTCCCAGCAGGGAATCCCCTGAGCATGTGTGCCCTGTCCCACCCTGTCCCAAGAGCAGCTCCCAGGCAGTGCTTCCCAAAACCTGCCTTCTCGAAAGATCCTCCTGCCCTAGCCACCCTCCCTACACCCCAGAGCGGCTCGCCACTCCTTTTTCCAAGCTGGACCGGGGTGGTCCTGGGGCAGAGACTGCCACGGCCAGATGGTTCCCAAGGTGATGCTGGCAATTGGTGCCTGTCCAGCAGGAGCTGCGCTGGCAGGGTGCATCCCCCACAAAATGTTTTGATGGGAGACAGGACACTGGCTCCAGCCTTTGGGCAAAGGCTGGGCTGCCTCAGGGATGCGGGGACCCCTGCAGCATCAGAGACCGTCGCTGTTTTGCTGGCGACTGGATTTTTATAGTGGCCGGGGGACCCTGGGGCAGGGCAGGGCAGGAGCCCCTGCCCAGAGCACTGCTGCAGGCAGAGGCTCACGCCTTGTATATATTTCTCTTGCTGTGATTTGTATTAACTTATTACGGAGTGAGCCAGGATTTCCCCATGGCCAGGCAGGCAGGATGGTGGTGAGACTGGACCGGGGAGCTTTCCCTCTGCTTTGGGAACCCCCCCAGCCCAGCCCAGCTGGCCCCGCTGCCCCAGGAACTGCATGTTTCTGCCAGGCACCCCCTTCCCGCAGCGTTGTGCTGCCATCCCCCTTTTAAGTCTCTTTTGTAAATGTGCCAAACGCTGCTGAGGCCTCGGCCACACAGTAAAGAGCCTTTCGGAGTCTGGCGTGCAAAGCCAAGGTCTGGGCGGGTGCAGAGGGCGGGGGTGAGGCGGGGCCCAGAGCGCCGGGCTTCCAGGGGTGCTGGAATGGAGACCGATGCCGCTATCTTCTATCTTAATGGGACCCCGGCTCACTGGTGTGAAAGAAGCCACGTCAGAAAAAAAGGCTGTTTAATGCAGAGCCCTGAGGCTGGAGCAGGCTGGGGATGGTGTCCGTGGGTCTGTCCATGCCAGGGGGAGCATGACCCTATCTTGTAGCAGTGGCATCCATCAGTCTGCGTGCAGGCCCTGAGAACCACATCCTGGCTTCTAGCTCCCTGTGGGAACAGTGGGAGTCAGAGTCAGCTGGGGCATTGCCAGGTGGGGCACCCAAAAGGTGTATCCCAGACAGGGAGGAACAGACCCCTGGCACTGTATCCAACCTGCTCCCTCCAGCCCAGCACTCAAGATTTTTGCAAGCGGCGGGGGATGGGGACACGGGTTCCAAGGCACAGCAGCACTGGCAGCCACCAGTGGTGCCCCTTTAGGTGCCCACTCACCCTCCACAAGGAGCCGGGCAGTGGAGCGGTCATCGAAGGCGTCACAGGTGTATGAGTCCTCGTCCTCGGGGCCCACGCGGTGAATGATGAGTGTGCGGTAGCAGTCCAGATTGCAGATCTCATACTTGTCACCAGCAAAGATCTCGGTGTCCCCACGGAGCCAGCGCACCCGGCCCCGGGCGTGGGACACGGTACACTCCAGTGTCGCCTTGTGCCTCGCCAGCACTGTCTTGTCCCGCAGTGGCTTCACGATCCGGATTGGCAGTGCTGGTAGGTGAGGGCAATGCATCAGCATCGTGGGGTGAGTGGGCTTCCATGGGGACATCACAAGCTGACCTGGTACACCCCAGACCTGGTGTTAGAGCCCAGCCAGACCTCACAGCCCACGCTGATACCTTCCACCTGCAGACTGGCCTCCGAGATGACTGTCCTGGCTGTGAAGCGGATGAGTCCCTTGTCCTCAGGGCGCACACCACAGAACAGCAGGAAATGCCGGGTCCCTGGGGAGGGAGAGGCTGGCTCAAGGTGACAGCAATGTGTACCCATAGTAAGCAAGACAGGGAGGGACCCCCCCTTTGTCTTCACAAATGCCCCTTACTTGAATTTGCCCTTTCCCAGCACCAAACCAGGTGTGGAACCACCTGCACCCTCACCTTCTTGCCGTATCTTCACTGTGCTGGAGACCTTGATTTTCTCCCCGTCCCGAAACCACTCGCCCTTCACGTCCCCATGTGACACTTCGCAGGTGAAGACTGCGTTGTCACCCTCCCGCACCTTGACGTCCTGCAGCTCCTGCACAACGTGGACCTGGCGCTCTGTGGGCAATGGACAGGGTGCCAGGGCAGCCACGGATGAGGGGAGCAGGCAGCGTAGGGTTTAGGGGTGTGCACACTGCTGGGAGCTGGGAGACCATACCTTGGACGTGCAGCGTGGCGGAGGCCTGGCAGTCACCCGCATCGCAGGTGTAGCTGCCAGTGTCGCTCAGCTCGCAGCGGTTCAGCTGCAGGATGCGGCGCCGTCCCGCCGAGTAGATGCGGCAGTTGGGCCCTGGCCGCAGCTCCTGTCCATCCTGCATGGCAGCAAATGGGCAGCACCCCACTGCTTTGGCCCCTCTGCTCTGTCTGCAGCCCTGGCAGGGAGGGCAGCAGCCAGGGGACAAAGCATGGAGGAGGACACGGGCAGGTGCTGCTGGAGGGGATAAGGGTGAGCCCTCACCTTGAACCATTTCACCTCTGCATTAGGGCGAGACAGCTCACACTCGAAGCTGGCAACCCCCGTCTCTGGCACCCCCAGGTCTCGTGGGACTCTCACCATAGTGACTGGAGGCTCTGAGGAGGCAGGACACAGGACATGAAGGCTTGGTAGGGAAAAGGCATGGATTTGGGGCTGCAGGGAAGAGTAGTTGTGGCTGGGGCATTTCAGCATGGGGTGAGAGTGGCACTACCCATGGGTAAGCACTCATCAGTGGTGTTCCAGCTGGCTCTGGACCCAGACCCTGGATGGGTGTCCCCCACTGCTCAGCTTACATCTCCTCCCTGAGGACAGGGAGACACTTGCCAGCACACTGTCACCACTGTCCAGGACAGGGGACACATGTGCCCAGGGTGGCCCAGCTCAGCCTTGGTATCTCCCAGTACAGAGCAGCTGAAGATCAGGCAGTGCCAGTGCCACACACCCCCCAGCCTGCCCCAGGGACCATACCCCGCACACGCAGGTGGGCGCTGCAACGCAGAGTGTCAGCAGTGAAGGTGACAGTCCCTGAGTCTTCCAGTGCAAGCCTCTCCAGTGTCAGGCTATGCCCGCAGCCCGTGGCACTGATCCGGCACGTACTGCTGGGCTTCACGCGGATACCGTCCCGTGTCCAGACCCCAGTCACGCCAGGGTGAGACAGCTCCAGGTGAAATGTGGCTGTCTCCTTCTCAAAGGTCTCCACATCTGCCAGTGGTGTCCGGATTGACACCTTCCGGGCTGTGAGGGACCCATGTTTGTGAGTAGGTGTCTGCTCCACCGCAGAGCCCCTGGCTTCCCAGTCTGTGCTTGCTGGAGTGATCGTCTAAATCCAGCTGTTTGTACCGGACTCCCACCCCTGCCCACACACTCACCTCTCTGACCACCCCTTCCAGCCAAGTACCAGCTCTGCCCACATGCTCCCATTCCAGCAGTTGGGTGCCCTCCCTGTCCCCATCCCATCCCCGTTGCCTTCCATCCCCATCCCCAGCCTGGTACTCACGCTCCACGTGGAGCTTGGCCTGTGTGCGGTCGTGCAGGCTCTCGCAGCGGTAGGTGCCGCGGTCAGCAGGGCCGAGGCAGCAGATGGTGAGGGTGCGCCGGCACCCCGACTCCTGCAGCAGGTATTTGCTTCCCGGCTGAAGGAGGATGCCCTGCTTCAGCCACTGCACCTCGGCAGCCTCATGGCTCACCTCCACCTCCAGGCACACGTCCCCCTGCTCCTCTGCCACCACATCCTGCAGCTTCCGCACAAACAGCACCTGTGCCTCTGCATGGCCCACGTGCTGGATCAGCAGCTGACCCCAGGGCTGTGTCTTGGGCTGAACCCCAGCTTTCTCCTTCCCCCTCACCTTGTACGCTCAGCCGAGCTGTGCTCACCAGCCCCTCGGCATTGGCTGTCACAGTGCCTGCATCACCTGTCTGGCACTGCCGGAGGGTGAGGCCGTGGCACAGCCCGCTCCTGGTCACCAGCAGACGCTCACTGGGGGCCACGGGCTGGCCATTCAGCTGCCATGTCACAGCCACATCTTCGGGGGACACCAGGCACTTGAAGGTGGCATCCTCCCCTTCCAGCACTGTCAGGCTCTGCAGCTCCATGATGATCTCCACCACCCTGGGGACTACAACCGGTTTGTCAGGGCACAGCATAAGAAACCCCCTGTCATGTAGGGACGCAGAGCATTCCTGCAATACTGGCATCGCTGTGCCAGCATCCCCACCACCCCTCTGGAATAGGAGTCCCCCGAGGCGGTGGGGAAGCCTTGGGCTCACCCTGCACCGTCAGCGTCGCCAGGGTCTGGTCGTCGTTGGACTCGCAGCAGTACTCGCCGGCATCCGCGGGCTCCACGCGGCTCAGCACCAGCGACCGCTCCCGTCCCTCTGCCGTCATCTGCCGGCG